TCTCACAAGATCAACAATCCTGACATAAATTATTTGATATCCTTTTGTAAATAATTCTCTTGTTTCACTAAAAGCGTGTGTCTTTTTGAATAACTATTCTGAGAATTTATGAAATCTACCCTCCTTTCGCTCTCTCTCTCTCTCTTAATTTTCTGAAAAACCTGGAATACAATACATATTGTTGTTTGCTCTTTCTTTGAATTTGCCTGCTTGTGCATGTCTTGTGTTCTTTGTAAAATATTTTTTTCCAAACAAAAGGATTTAATTCTCAAATAACAATTCATTTCATTCTTTTTACATTTTATTTTCTACTCTAACGTTTATATTTCTCATTCTGTTTTGTGAAGTGTTAGAGAGAGGAGGGTTGTGTGTTAGAGTGTAAAGCAAAAAAAGGGTCTTTGATAAAATTTCGATTATATTGAAAGAAGAGACCTTTTAATTGAATGATAGTGTGAGTGATGAAATTAAATGTTTTTCTTAAAAAAAAACTTATTGACTGTAAACATTTTGCAAATTTTTTTATGGACTAAAGTGAGAAATAATTAAAGAATTTTCTTTGAAGTAAGATTTTGAAAAGTGAGAGTTTGAAATAAGTTGAAAATATTGAAGAAAATTTTTAACATGAAAATTGAATTTACTACAAATTTATTTGAATTAAAACATGGATTAAAAAAAGTGAAGGAAATAAGAATTTTACCGTTTAATAAATGGATTCGTAATAGATATTTGAAAATATTTAATTTCAAATTCATAAATTATTCTAAAAAACAAATTGGATTTAAAACTGGAAGATTTTAAAGTGCATGAAGTAAAAAATTTTACTTTTCAAAATGAATTCGTAACATTGGATAACATTTTAATAACAGAAGTTATTCTGAATACAAATCGGATTTTAAAGTGATTAAATTTGAATACAATTTCAAATTCATAAGTTGTTCCTATCACAAATTGGATTTTAAACTGGATAATTTAGAAGTGATTAAAGAATGAACTTTTCTATTAACAAATGGACTCGTAAAGGAAATTTGGAATATACCTAATATTAAAATTTATACATTTTATAATTTAAAAGTGATTTTTAAGAATTATATTTCAAATGAACAGAAACTATGGATAATTCAATAACTTAATAATTTGGTATGCTTTTATAATTTCACAACAATATGAAATATTGATAATAAACACATGATGAAGTAACAAAAATGAAGATGACAAATAGAAATCGTATAAAAACAAATTGATGAGAATTATAAAAAATTATTTAAGGAACTTTCCCGGGAATTTTCAACAATTTGATTTCTAAACTTAGATTTCTATAGTTAAAATTTACGAAAAGTCGACTTTTAGAACTTTTTAAAGAGGATATTTAAGGTTATTTTTATATGAAGTTGAATATCTCTTAAAATTATCTAAAACTTTGCAGACAATATACCAGAATTTATGAACTTCCCGAGAATTTTCAGCATAATCTAATCATTAGATCTAGATCTGCAAAAAAAATTCTTCGTCTTTTTTCGTACAAGTCGACTATACTTTTTGGCTTTGTTAGGGCAACAAGTCGATTCTTCGAATGTCGACTCTATTTTAATTTTTTTCAGCATAATCTAATCATTAGATCTAGATTTGCAAAAAAAATCTTCTTTTTTTTTTTTCTTACAAGTCGACTATACTTTTTGGCTTTGTTAGGGCAAAAAGTCGATTCTTTGAAAGTCGACTCTATTTTACTTTTTTCAATAATTCTGAAAACAATTCCAAAATAATGCCGGAAATAAGTTCTATATTTCTAAACCACTTTATAATAAATTTGCTTTAAATTAAAAATTAAATAGAGATTAAAATTTCGTTAGAAAACATTGAACTTTTAAAATATTAATAGAAAATTTTATCTATAAAATGCTTCCACCGGATGTCTGCCAAGTACGATTTGTATAAATTGATATAACTATAAAACACATTATCAAAATTTTATTCTGATATCAAATTTATTATGAGCAATCGATTTTATACTTCGCCATCTTAATAAGGAAGGTAATTCCAAAATAGGTAGGAGACACGAAAATCATTAAGAAGATCGATTTCCTTACTTTTGATAACTCTAAGTGTAAACATATTTAAACCAAATAATTCTGCTCAGTGCTAAATTGAGACGCAAAATAAAATGGAAAAATTGTACAGAAAAGCATAAAAAATACTCTATTTCAATTTTCCTCGAATAAAATATTTTCCAACTAAAATTCATTAAATATCATTTCACATAGATACACACACTACATACAGCAGCAAGCAGCACATCAACTACGTCTATTGCGTTGTTCTATTACTCTCTATACGTAGAATTCGAATATTCTTTTATCCGTTATTTCTAGGAATTATTTGCCTGAGTTGTTTTTTTTTTTTGCCAACTCTCTCAGTTGTTGTTCGTTTGTTTGCATGGATATTGGGAAAAGTATTAGAGAAAGAGCGTGTGTACGATTTTCATCTGCAACCTCATCATCATCAGCATATTTTGTTCACATTATAAACAAAATACAATTTCCAGATATTTATTTTTTTTTTGTTTTTCATTTATTAGAAAAATCTTTGGTGTTTTTTGTTTTCTGCTAGTCTAATATTGTATTTGGCTTGAGGGTTAATATGAAGATTTTTTTTTTGTGAAATATTTAATACTCATTACAATTACTCTTCAAATCAGTTCGGTTGAAAATACTGAAATATAGCTGGAAAACAGTAGAATAGAAAAAAAAGGAATAATTGAAATTTTCTAGAAAATAGCAAAAATAACATTTTCCTTTAAAGTAAAGTTTTTAAGCTGAAATTTAATGTTATAGAAATTATATATAATTTCTATTACTTAACGGTAGGTGGGTGTTTTCAAAATTAATCTATTTGAACTTTAATCTATTTGAACTTTAAACAATTTCTGACGTTTTGCAAGTTTCGAATTTAAATATTAAAAAGAATGTAAATAATTCTTAAGTTTAAAAATTTTAGATTTTTAAGCCAAGATCGAAAATTGGAACTTATGTTCGAACATTTTTTAAAAGCATTTAAAAATTACAATTTTATTTGAGATCAATTTCAAACTTGTAAATTTTATAAATAAGTATGTAATTTGAAACTTGAAACATTAAAAATTCAGTTCTCTTCTACATTGTTTAGTTCTAGTTCAGTTCTAGTTCTGTTCTAGTTCTGTTCTAGTTCAGTTCTAGTTCTAGTTCAGTTCTAGTTCAATTTCCAGTTCAGTTCTAGTTCGGTTCTAGTTCAGTTCTAGTTCAGTTCTAGTTCAGTTCTAGTTCAGTTCTAGTTCAGTTCTAGTTCAGTTCTAGTTCAGTTCTAGTTCAGTTCTAGTTCAGTTCTAGTTCAGTTCTAGTTCAGTTCTAGTTCAGTTCTAGTTCAGTTCTAGTTCAGTTCTAGTTCAGTTCTAGTTCAGTTCTAGTTCAGTTCTAGTTCAGTTCTAGTTCAGTTCTAGTTCAGTTCTAATTCAGTTCTAGTTCTGTTCTAGTTCAGTTCTAGTTCAGTTCTAGTTCTGTTCCAGTTCAGTTCTAGTTCAGTTCTAGTTCAGATCTAGTTCAGTTCTAGTTCAGTTCTAGTTCAGTTCTAGTTCAGTTCTAGTTCAGTTCTAGTTCAGTTCTAGTTCAGTTCTAGTTCAGTTCTAGTTCAGTTCTAGTTCAGTTCTAGTTCAGTTCTAGTTCAGTTCTAGTTCAGTTCTAGTTCAGTTCTAGTTCAGTTCTAGTTTCAGTTCTAGTTCAGTTCTAGTTCAGTTCTAGTTCGTTCGCTTCTAGTTTCAGTTCTAGTTCCTAGTTCTAGTTCAGGTTATAGTTCAGTTCTAGTTCAGTTCTAGTTCAGTTCTAGTTCAGTTCTAGTTCAGTTCTAGTTCAGTTCTAGTCAGTTCTAGGTCAGTTCTAGTTCAGTTTCTAGTTTCAGTTCATGTTCTAGTTCAGTCTAGTATCAGTTTCTAGTTCAGTTCTACTTCTAGTTCTAGTTCAGTCTCGTAGTTCTGAGTTCTAGTTTCATTTCTAGTTCAGTTTCTAGTCAGTTTCTAGGTTCAGTTCTAGTTCAGTTCTAGTTTCAGTTCTAGGTTCATTTCTCGTTTCATTTCTAGTTAGTTTCTCGTCAGTTTCTAGTCTGTCAGTTCTAAGTTCAGTTCTAGTTCAGTTCTAGTTCAGTTCTAGTTCAGTTCTAGTTCAGTTCTAGTTCAGGTTCTAGTTTCAGTCTAGTTCAGTTCTAGTTCAGTATCAGTCTAGTCAGTTCTGGTTCAGTTCTAGTTCAGTTCTAGTTCAGTTCTAGTTCAGTTCTAGTTCAGTTCTAGTTCAGTTCTAGTTCAGTTCTAGTTCAGTTCTAGTTCAGTTCTAGTTCAGTTCTAGTTCAGTTCTAGTTCAGTTCTAGTTCAGTTCTAGTTCAGTTCTAGTTCAGTTCTAGTTCAGTTCTAGTTCAGTTCTAGTTCAGTTCTAGTTCAGATCTAGATCAGTTCTGGTTCAGTTTTAGTTTAGTTCTAGTTCAGTTCCAATTCAGTCCTAGTGCGGTATAATTTTAGTTTTATTTGAGGTTAAATTTTACCATTTTACAAGTTTCGAACTTAAAAGCAATGACTTACTCTTTAAACATTAATACTAGGTTAATAAAACGTTGATATTTTTATATAATCTGGTTCAGTTTTAGTTTAGTTCTAGTTCAGTTCCAATTCAGTCCTAGTGCGGTATAATTTTAGTTTTATTTGAGGTTAAATTTTACCATTTTACAAGTTTTGAACTTAAAAGCAATGACTTACTCTTTAAACATTAATACTAGGTTAATAAAACGTCGATATTTTTATATAATCGTTTCAAATAAAATCCCACGTTTAAAAAAATACTTTTAAATTCTACGAATATGACCACCAATTTAATAGAATTTTTTCTAACCACAAACATATTACCTCCTTAATACGTAGAAATACTTTTTTAACAAATTAAATTTAAAAATTGTTTTTAATTTTAAATATTTCTTTCCTTCATTTACAGTTACACTTAACAACCAACTAGTTAAAACAAAAGAGAAATAGAAACACAAATGTCAATGGAAAATCCCCATAATTTTGTATAAAAAACGTTTTAATTATAAATTCAGATGGGTCACCGTTTTAGTAAAACTGCTGCAAATAATATTGCTGCTAAAACAACGACAACAACAACAACAACTACTACAGAAAAAGCATTTACCACAACAACAAATATAATACCTATACCTAACGGTAATCAACAGCAACAACAACAATTTGTAGGACCCACTATAAATTTACAAATACAAGAAAGTCCTACCACCACTACTACCTGTAGTGGAAGTAACGATAATAATCTTATAACAACAACAGCTGGCATTTTACAGCAAACTAATAGTATTAGCAATAGTTTAACATCAGTTAATAATTTATCGTGTGGACGTCAGATAATCATTAAAATTCAATTGGCTAAAATGGAAAACGGAAATGAAACATCATTATCACAACAACAACAACAACTGCAACAGGACACTAGCACTACTACTACTAATAATACTACCACTTCCTTGGAAAGTTTAACAGCTGATTGTAATCTCAATTCCCGAGAATTAGCCACAACAACAACAGTAACAGCAGCGGGTACACAATTTTTAAATCTTACCTTAAATGGTAGTAGTAATCCTCCTTCATCATTGTCTTCAACAACATCATCATCATCTTCTGCTTCATTATTTAGAACTGCTGGCAGTTCTTTGAATAGAAATAATAATTATTTGAATAAAAATAGTGGCACGACGAGTTCAGGTGCCATGTCAAGACTTGAACGTCCGGAACGTTTTAATTCTTTACAATTCAATGATGAAATTGTCGAACAAAATATTGGTGAAATTGTTGAGTATTGTGAAGTTTTGGAAGATCATCATCAACTACCACAACCTGGTAGTAGTTCGCATATGCTAGCAATTAATGAAGGTAAGGAATTGAATTGAAGATAAGGAAAAAAATCAAAGATTAGAAATTACATTTGAACAAAATTTTAAATGTAAAATAATCTCTTGATAGAAAAATTTATAACATTCGGACTTTTGTTTGAAGAAATTTTAGAGTTTTTAAAATTGTTTGTAAATCGTGAGAGATCTTAAAAATTTTCCAAAACTCGGATTTAATTTCGCAACATTTTAGATATTTTGAACTTATATTATAAAGTCTCAAAATTGTAAGTTCTAGCTTAGTTCTAGTTCAATTAGTCAGTTCTAGTTCAGTTCTAGTTCAGTTCTAGTTCAGTTCTAGTTCAGTTCTAGTTCAGTTCTAGTTCAGTTCTAGTTCAGTTCTAGTTCAGTTCTAGTTCAGTTCTAGTTCAGTTCTAGTTCAGTTCTAGTTCAGTTCTAGTTCAGTTCTAGTTCAGTTCTAGTTCAGTTCTAGTTCAGTTCTAGTTCAGTTCTAGTTCAGTTCTAGTTCAGTTCTAGTTCAGTTCTAGTTCAGTTCTAGTTCAGTTCTAGTTCAGTTCTAGTTCAGTTCTAGTTCAGTTCTAGTTCAGTTCTAGTTCAGTTCTAGTTCAGTTCTAGTTCAGTTCTAGTTCAGTTCTAGTTCAGTTCTAGTTCAGTTCTAGTTCAGTTCTAGTTCAGTTCTAGTTCAGTTCTAGTTCAGTTCTAGTTCAGTTCTAGTTCAGTTCTAGTTCAGTTCTAGTTCAGTTCTAGTTCAGTTCTAGTTCAGTTCTAGTTCAGTTCTAGTTCAGTTCTAGTTCAGTTCTAGTTCAGTTCTAGTTTAGTTCTAGTTCAGTTCTAGTTCAGTTCTAGTTCAGTTCTAGTTCAGTTCTAGTTCAGTTCTAGTTCAGTTCTTGTTCAGTTCTGTTCTAGTTCAGTTCTAGTTCAGTTCTAGTTCAGTTCTAGTTCAGTTCTAGTTCAGTTCTAGTTCAGTTCTAGTTCAGTTCTAGTTCAGTTCTAGTTCAGTTCTAGTTCAGTTCTAGTTCAGTTCTTGTTCAGTTCTGTTCTAGTTCAGTTCTAGTTCAGTTCTAGTTCAGTTCTGGTTCAGTTCTAGTTCAGTTCTGGTTCAGTTCTAGTTCAGTCCTAGTTCAGTTCTAGTTTAGTTCTGGTTCAGTTCTAGTTCAGTTCTAGTTCAAGTCTAGTTCAATTCTAGTTCAGAACTTCAGTTTAATTTCACCTCAATTTCTTAGGTTTTCACAAATTTAAAAATTAAAGATTTTGCAAGAAATAATATTTTTATTTACTTTTTTTCAAATAATTAAACGTTTAATAATTGTAATTCTTAAATAAATTCATTACCACAATTAATTTCTTAGCATAATTGTAATTTTAAAAAGTACTAGATGTAAAATAAATAAATCACTTGTGGTTCTTTAACGCACACATTTTAAAAATAAAATTGTAAATATGTTAGTATCATTCATTATAAGTCTAATAAACCAACAGATGTTTTTTTATATTTAAATAAAATAAAATTTTATAACAATTACTAATTGTTGTTCTTTTATCTTATTATCCACTTAATTTCAGAACCAGATAATAACGAGGCAAATGTTTGCTGTCGACGTAAATCAAAGTCTTTAGCAGCAAGTGGAAGTTCAATGTCTTCCAGCAGTAATAATACGGGTGCGAAAACGAAAAGTCGTTGTCGTAAATGTAGTTGTCGCGATGCATTCAGACGCTTTTTAGATCCCTCACTATCAAGATCATCAAATAAGGCCAGCAAACAACAGCAGCAACAACAGCAGCAGCAACAGCTTAAAGAACAAAAACGTAACAAATCACAAGATAGACATTCCATTAATAATCCACTGGTTATAAATAATACAAATAAAGCTACATTACAACAGCAACGTAATTCCATGCATTCCACCACCACCGCCACCATCATGAACACAAATACACCAACAACAAGACCCCCAACAAGTACAGCAGCAGCTGCTGCTATAGTTGTACCCCCTGCAGTAAGCAATCAAGTAGCATTATGGGGCCCGGCCACTACCACAAATGGCAGTGATGTTATTATACCCCTAACAACACCAGCACCATCACAATTTGTTGTGCTACAATGTGCTATAGTAAATCCCTCGAATGCAGCTCTACCACCCCTACCAAATGCCCACAACCCCAACACCTCCAATTCTTGCTTAAACAGCAATGGTTTATTATCAATTACACATGATCTAACACCCTCTTCTGCCTCCTCTTCCTCCTCCTCCAATGATTTAATGGTTAAAGTTCCTTCCAATCCAACAAGACCTGCGCCAGCTGTTAGCGGTCCCACAGGACCCATTGTACATTCACAAGTAGATTTTGTTCACTACCTAGTGCCCGATTTGGAACGTATTACCAATTCCAGTTTTTATTGGGGTAAAATGGATAGATATGAGGCTGAACGTTTGTTGGAGGGTAAACCAGAGGGTACTTTTCTGCTGCGCGATTCGGCCCAAGAAGAATTTCTATTTTCAGTAACATTTCGTAAATATGGCCGCTCTCTGCATGCTCGCATTGAACAAAGTGATCATCGTTTTAGGTAAGTTGCTTAAACTATATTTAGTATTTTAAATAAATTCAAAATTAATACATTTTTCTTACTTCCTTAGCTTTGATTGTCATGATCCTTGTGTTTTTACCGCACCCACTGTTACCGGCCTGCTGGAACACTACAAGGATCCCGCCTGTGTTATGTTCTTTGAGCCCATGCTAACCATACCATTACATCGTAAGAATTGCTTCTCCCTGCAGAAACTATGTCGTGCCACAATTGTCTCGAATACCACTTACGATGGTATCAATGAATTAGAATTACCGGCACGCCTCAAATCATATCTAAAGGAATACCATTACAAGCAAAAACTGCGCGTTAAATCCAATGAACCCACCTATACCATACACTGTAAATAGTGTAAAGATATAACGGCTAATATGAGCCGTCAACAGCAAGAATTTCTACCCATAACAACGTATCACAAGGCCTATCATGTGGCCAGATATCAATATGAACGTGATACATATCATCAGCGTTTAATTAAATGGTACGATGACAAGTTGCGTTCATTGGAGGAACACAAACAAATGCACACCAATAAATGTGTGATTTTCTAAAAAAAAAAAAACAAAAATAAAACATTAAAAAAAGAAAACATCCTTCTCATCATCATGATTTTCAGTTTAATTCATTTAGATGTTTTTTTAACAAATTTATTGTTTTATTTTTTTATTGTTAAATTTGTGTGCAGTAGTATTTAGCTCTTAAAACATATTTATATAATAATATTTACTAGTTTATACATATAAATCTAAATAAATAAATTATTTATTATTATTATTATTATTCAATTGTATTATGTATCAAATATAGACAGACAATCCCCAGTGAATTATTTTATATAAGGCAAAACAAAAAACAACAAACAAGCTAAATTTGTAAACAAACCTTAACTTATAAAATCAAAAATAAATAATATTTATAATTAATAATAATATACAAACTAAAATTTAAAATTAATAATCAAAAATATTTAATATTAATAATATTATAAATAGTTACCTACCTAATGTATTTGTATTAATTATATATTGAGAAAAAACAAAAAACTTAAGTAAATTATATAGAAACCATTTTATAGTATTAAGTTAGAAAAGACTTGTATTTTTTGTTTCTGTCCTCATCATCGCTCTAAAAAACAACTAAATTCTCATAATATTTAAAAAGAAAAGTAATTATTTATTTTGAAAAAATAATAAAAATAAACAAAATTTTTGTTTTTTAGTGTATAAAAGGAACAAAAATACACTGATTACCTTAAAGATAAATGTGTTGTTTATTTATCCACAATTAGGAAAGATCTAGTAAAATTTATCTATTGAAAGAATCAATTTTTGTTTTTTTTCCTATTGATGGAACCATTTTCAAATACTGAAGCTATATACTCTTCTGAAGCATTATAATCCTATTATAAAACAGAATTACTATAGAACTCTGGAATGAAATAAAATTTAATCAATAAAGAGAGTTATAATCAAACATATGGTCTAGCTTGTTATAGACGACTTTTTTTTTATTATAGACAAGACTATAAACCGATCTGTAGACAAGACTATAGACAGATTTATAGTCAAGACTATAGACTGATCTGTAGTCAGGGCTATAGAATGAGCTATAGTTAATACTATAGACAGATCTACAGTTAAGACTATAGATTGATCTACGGTCAAGACTACCAACTGATCTATAGCCAAGGTTGTAGACTGATCTACAGTTGATACTGTAGACTCATCTACAGTTCAGACCATAGAATGATCTGTAGTCAAGGCTATAGAATGAGCTATAGTTAATACTATAGACAGGTCTACAGTTAAGACTATAGATTGATCTACGGTCAAGACTATAGCCACGGTTGTAGACTGATCTACAGTTGATACTGTAGACTCATCTACAGTTCAGACCATAGAATGATCTGTAGTCAGGGCTATAGAATGAGCTATAGTTAATACTATAGACAGATCTACAGTTAAGACTATAGATTGATCTACGGTCAAGACTACCAACTGATCTATAGCCAAGGTTGTAGACTAATCTACAGTTGAAACTGTAAACTCATCTACAGTTCAGACCATAGAATGATCTGTAGTCAAGGCTATAGAATGAGCTATAGTTAATACTATAGACAGATCTACTGTTAAGACTATAGATTGATCTACGGTCAAGACTACCAACTGATCTATAGCCAAGGTTGTAGACTGATCTACAGTTGATACTGTAGACTCATCTACAGTTCAGACCATAGAATGATCTATAGTCAAGATCTTAGACTGATCTATAGTCAAGACTATAAGACTGATCTATAGTTAAGACTATAGACTGATATATAGACAATACTATTGATTAGTCTAAAGTCAATACTACAGACTGATTCTCAAAGTCCTTTCACCAGATAATACAACCCTAAGTCTGGATAGGCCTAACAACCGATGTGTAAATCTAATCTAATTGGGTTGCAGACCCCAATTCTTTCGTTTACATGTGTAGTAGGTATTGAGTACCTTTCTCTTCCTTTCCCGAGTTTTAGGCCTGTTTGGAAATGCATCACTGCGCTGCATCTGATACGTTCAGAAATTTATTACGCATCAAATGGCTGATGAGATAAATTAGATTTGGATTTTATTTTCATTTAGGCCTTTTTAAACAAAAGTAAAACTCGATGCATAAAATTAGCATCAATTTATTGGCATCAGCATAGTAATAAACCAGTCCCGATTTTCTTTCCATGAAAGCTTGCTATCAAGAAAAGTCAGTCACTAAATACCTATAGATAAACTTAGTCCGATGCCATCTAACCTGGACAGCCTAAAGATTTCTACTTTATACAGTGTAGTAAATAATAACAATTCAGTTCTCCCAGCATTAACGTCCATCCCTTCTGCTTTCGCCCATATCATAATAACCTGTTTATAAAAATAATCGAGAATTGATTTCTTTTTTAGCAATTTGTTGAGTAGTACAGAAATATGTATGTCAATGAGTTTATTTTTTAAAAAAATTGTGCTTACTAACATATTCAATACAAATTACAATAAGTTTTGTTTTTATTTATAAAATATTTATTTATTACAAATACGAAATAATTTAATTATATATTTTAAATAAATAGTTTATATACAAAATCTTAAGAAATTATAACGAAACAAAATATTATAAATAAATATTAAAGTGTTTATTAGAAAAAATTAAAATGGCAACTTAAAAATTCATATAAAAGGAGTATTTTCTTTAAAAGCTGATTAACTGAATAAAATCACAAAAATTACCAAAAAAAAATGTTGAACCACCTTATGTTTGCATTAACTCCAAAACTACTCGTTAATAGATGTCGCTTTCGTCACAAAATCTTCCATTACCATGTGGCAACACTATAGCGTCAAATTTTCACATTTTTTATACCGAAATGTCAAATGGAAAATAATTTAAGAAAAACAACACAAAAAGGCAAGAAAAAAACCAAAAAGTGTTAATATAATAAAAACGCGCGTATTTTTACAAAATTTTATTAATTTAACAATATTCTAAGTGCTTAAATTTTATCACAACAACAGCATTAACTATTTTACAAGTGAAGTTAATAGAAAATATCCTTAAAAAAAAGTCAAGAAGTGTTTGATGCTAGTGAAAAAATTTTATCAAAGTGAATTTTTTTTTCTTTTCGTTCTACCTTACGGGAGGTTCTTGTACACGAGCAAATTTATTTTTGCTGAGATTTTTCTAATGCCGCAAATATAAGTTTTGCAAGTTTTAACTATAATAAAAAGAAAATTAAATTTATTTCTTATTCTTAGAAAAATATTAAGAAAAACAAAAAACACTGACGTGATTTAAAGATTTGAACAAAAAATTATGGCTTCTGTTAAAGCAACAGAAGAGTTTGATGTTGATTTGTTTGAAACTCGATTGGAATCTCTCAAAGATACCCAAGAAGGCATACAGCAAATGTCAACATGGTGTTTGGCACAACGTGGTCATCATAAGAAAATTGTAGCTTCTTGGTTGAACGTTTTCAAACGGGGTGAGTAACTTATGTTTTTTTCTGATTTTTGTTTTGTTCACTTTATTCCTGCTGCTCCGTATGGGCAATTTGGGAAGATGAACAACAATAGCTTTATGGTCTATGTTATTTGTTAAACAAAGTTATGAAAAGGATACAAGATGTAAATGATGTGTGCACCGGTACATCTCGGTGCATCCCTTGTCGGGATTAGTAGTGACAGTCTTTACAATGTGCTCCTTTTGAAGAAGTCAGCAAAACTATATTCTTGAGAGTTACTGATCGCTTCTAGGCCTTAACTGCTCTTTATTGATTTTAGTTACTAATGTAGTGTGGACATGTTATAGGTGTATCTAGTGGTAACATTCTTTGCATTGAGCAACTTTTCTTTGTTATTCTCAAAGATAGCCTAGGAGGCCAGGCGCATAACCATCACGAGAAGTATGCCCTCTAATGTATCTTCCTTTTTCACAGCCAGTTTAGTATTTTGGCTACCAAGATTTTCCTTTATGTCTAACGAGATAGTGATCACCATCTTCTTTCAAGGCTTTGACTGTTCCATATTGATTGTAGTGGCTAATGATAATGTGGTTACAGTAATAAACATTTTAGTATCCTTATCAGAGCTAGCAGCAACTTTAGATCTGAAAGAAGCCATTTCTTTGATGTTCGGCTATTCTTGAATCCTGGCCCATACCTATCACAAGAAAAGAGTCCTCTAAATGTTCTTTCTTTCCACGGCCAGCCAAACATTTTGCTTAACATTAATTTCAATTAGCAAGATGATGATTCTCTTTCCTTTTCATCTTATTTTCAAACATCCTTCGATATTAATTTGGCCGACTTGATCGCCTTTACAATTGTAAGAGAATGTCTAGAAATTCCTTTGAAATGTTTAATCTCTGAATCCAGGTCTCAGTACTGTCAATCCATTGACAATATCAACGAGCTAACCAGATTCCAACCTATACTATTCATTGACGAATTCTAATTCTGAGACCATAACTTTACATATGGACATATATTTTCCATATTGTTGACGACCTATGGGACTCTAAGTCTCTAGCACCAAATCAAACCTACTGTTATATAGAGGATATAGTCACTATGCAAAAGCTATTCATTCGACTATTTTAAGTCACCGGAGTGCGGACGCTTTATATCTTCAGCTGGTTATTTATTAAAGATGATTCAGCAGTAGGTATTCACCAAAGAGATGAAAGAAAGTCAGTGTTATTTTTATTCCCAAGGCCGGGAAAGCACTCAAGATTAAAGAGTTTTGGACATATTAGCATATCTTCTTTTCTCTTGAAGAATCTTGCGAGACTGGTAGATCTGCATCTTAGGAACTATATTAATACTCAACTCATTAGCAACGCTCATCATGTCAATCTTTAGGCTAAATCTATTGGGAGTGCACTATATGATGCGGTAAGTTGTGTTGAGCACAGCTTGAATAATATGGTGGCAGGTATTGAGAAAGGACAGTTGTCTGAAGATGCTCAATCAAATCTCTCCTCTTCGTCTTGGGATTATGTACGATAATTTTCAGTGCCTCAGATAGCTTCGCTTTTCTGTCATTCACCATTTCCAACATACGATCTACTTTATCCCTGCTGGAATTAGATATGATATTATTGTTATAATCACCTGAGATTTCTGAATTTAAACCTGTACAAAAAGTTTAAATAGTTTTTAAAATATACAAGAATCCCTATGGTTCCTCATATTCTGCCTACAATACAGCATTACGTACTCTTCATTCTCCGTTTCATTTCGATTCAGATGCAAACAAAACAGATACTGCAACTCTATATTATTCTGATCATAATGGAACTTTATCATCTGCTTAAGATGTTGACAGTAAAAGTTTCATTAATATTATAATTCTTTAAAGTTTCCACCATCAAATCTGATGTTTTCTCCCAAAATTCCAATTTTAATCAAAGTATTTAAATCAATTGGGAATGTGAATAAAAATAAATATGTTTACATAATTAATGGATTTTCAATAATATTAATTCTTTTACAGTACGCGTTGAACATCGTCTGGTGTTATTTTATTTAGCAAACGATGTCATACAATATAGTAAAAGAAAACGTTATGAATTTGTTGAAAGTTGGGCAACAGCATTACAAAAAGCCACAACAATGGTCAGGTAAGTTTATTATCTATAATTTCATTATAACCATTTAATTGTATTAATTATATTACCTCTTTCAGAGATGAAAAAGTCAAAAATAAAATTCTACGCATCTTTAGCATTTGGGAACAACGTGAGATCTATAATGAAGAATTTCTAACAGATCTATGTGGTCTTTTAAATATAGCACCACCAAAAAAATCCCACACACCCACTGTAGATTCTGATGATTTTCAAAATGCCAATCTAATAGCTAGCATACGAGAGTGTGTTGAATTAGGGGAGGCCACCGATAAAAGTTTTAAAAAATTGCCAAAAACACCAAATTGTGATATAGAAAGTATTAAGCAACAATTAAAAGATAAAACAAATTCAGATGATGTTGAAAAGGAAATCGAACGTTATGTTACATATATTGGGGCTTTTACAAAGAATCTACAGGCGGAAATAAAATGTCGTAAGACGGTGGTGAATAATGTAGATACGGCGATAAAATTCTATGCCAATCAAAGAGGAGAAGTTAAAGTTGTAGTTAGTGTAAGTAGTGTAAAAGGCCAAAGCAATAGTCTTACTAAGTTTTTGGCCAGTTTGTGATGAAAAATGTGAATGAGTATTAAATTTGTTCCTTTTAATTTACCTCTTAGGCTTATAAGAATTTTGGCAGCCGCATAAAGTTAGTGAAAAAGAAGTTAGATGAAATTGCTCCTACTTTACCTAGTCCTATACCTTCACCGGATATAAATGCACCATCACCGGAACCAGACACCGATTTGCAATTACCAGATGAACAATCGCCTCTTACAATGGTAAGTTAGAGTAAGAATATTTAAAGACTGATTTATTTATCTTAATTTTTTTTTTTTGCAGAATTTTTTGAAAAGTAGTTTCAATGGCTATTCCAGTTACATGGACGGTAATTTACCTTTTGATATCAATGATTTTAAACGTGATGAAAATGCTAAATCTTCAAGTATGTTAAATAATTTCCCCTACATTTACATTTTCTAATTATATTTTACTTTTTCGCCTCTTTTCAAAAGGTCAACCTATAGAAGTAATTGGTTCTAGATCAGATGATGAAAGCTACAACCCAAGTGCTGACTTTTATAAACCTGAATCAATAAGTGCCTATCCGAGCACTAATAGCATGTCTATACCGGGTTTGGCACCAATGCCGGTACCCTCAGTGCCAACAGGAGGTTATACCTCACTGGCAAGATCTTCTCATCAATATGGAGATATTTTACCACCTCCCCCCAATCCACCTATGTTTGGTGGTCCCACAAATTCTCTTACCAATAATCTACATCATAATTTGAACTCTGGCTATAGTGGCCATAATCCCAGGACATATAATACCGATAACAGTTATAATCCAAATGTGTACAATCGCCGGCCGGTAAGTGCAGCCCCTGTTCAACCTTTAATGCCTCCACCACCAATGCCACCCACGGTGGGCTCCTTAGATTCGACGGAGAGTAGTGATTTCAATTCTACCTGGGATATGAATATGTCCTGGACAAATCCTTTGGATAGTTCCAGTGTTTCAAATTCATCCTATAGTCATACACCAATTGAAACACCTCATTCACCGCCTCATTTCGATTCAGATGCACACAATTCAGATTCAACTACACTAGAATATTCTGATCATGATGGAACTTTATCATCAGCCCAAGATGTTGATCATCGTCAGCTGATTTTACCAGCTTTTGGTATTGGTACTAAATTAGGCTTAAGCAAAGGTAAATATAACATAAACGAATACTCAATTAACATTAATTTTATATAATTTATTTTATTTTATTAGAAAAAACCCGTCAATTGGATATAGATCATAGAAATCTAATATCATTAACTGGTTCACCGGGAGCAAGTGATATTGACAAAAAGGCCTGGTATCAGGAAACAAATGAGGTTTGTTAATGTTTACAAAAATATCTAAATTACAAAATTGTTTACAATCTTTACTTCACTTTTCATTATAGCTATCTGGTGATGTTGATTATCGTACTTTTGGTCAAAATATTAAAACTATTGAAACTACAACCACGATACCGTTTTTAAATGATAATTCTTCAGTATCATCTAATGATACAACAGGAAATGTAAGTAATTTTCCATAATTTTTATACCTACATGGTTTTTCTACTAGTCACAATTATTAAGAAGCATATGGAGTAAGATCGGTAGATCGAGAGGTCGAGAGGTCGAAAAAGCTTTAGATCGAAAGATAGTTCGATCGAATAATCAAATGATGAAATTATAGATCGAACGATCTAATGATAGAAAGATCGAATGATTAAATAATTTATAATCAAATGATCAAAAGATAAATAGATCGAATGATTGATCGATGATAGTTTTTACCAAATTCTGTGAATTTTGAACTGAAACAAACATAAACTATATCTTTTAAAACATTAAAAATATACTTTTCTCTTTTTTTCAAAGATTACATCATCTGTCACATCACCCCAGAAAAATAATAGTAAGTTGACTTTTGCTATTAATTTACAAAAATGCGTTCCATTATTTATTTATATATAACTTGTTTACTTTTTTATTATTTAACTTCAAGGTCCTTCAAAAGAATCTCACAAAGATGATTCTTATTTAGAGAATACAGACGGAGGTATGGCTGGTTATGATCCAACAGATATGGTTGTTGATATGGACATGTCTGATGATGATCTTGATGATATCTTTAGAGGTTTGCTTAGTTATTTTTATTATTTCTCTTTTGTTTATTATAATCACAAAGCCAATATCTATTTATGATTTCTATGATTTATTTTTTTGATTATTTCATTATGTTTTCTTTTTTGACCTTTTATCCATTTGTTTAAAAGACTATTGGTAAATTTCAAGATCTGATACTTAAAGACGATTTTAAGATTATTACGCATGGGTTGTTTTGATAATTTTGTTGGAAATTGGACGACTGTAATGGAAATGTTAATAATTTGTTCACCTAAGTAGATAGATAGATAGATAGATAGATAGATAGATAGATAGATAGATAGATAGATAGATAGATAGATAGATAGATAGATAGATAGATAGATAGATAGATAGATAGATAGATAGATAGATAGATAGATAGCTAGATCGCTCGCTCTCTCGCTCGCTCGCTCGTCTCCTCGCTCGCTCGCTCGCTCGCTCGCTCCTGCTCGCTCGCTCTCGCTCGCTCGCTCGCTCGCTCGCTCGCGCTCGCTCGCTCGCTCGCTCGCTCGCTCGCTCGCTCGCTCGCTCTCTCGCTCGCTCGCTCGCTCGCTCGCTCGCTCGCTCGCTCGCTCGCTCGCTCGCTCGCTCGCTCGCTCGCTGCTCGCTCGCTCGCTCGCTCGCTCGCTCGCTCGCTCGCTCCTCTCTCTCGCTCGCTCGCTCGCTCCTCGCTCGCTCGCTCGCTCTCGCTCGCTCGCTCGCTCGCTCGCTCGCTCGCTCGCTCGCTCGCTCGCTCGCTCGCTCGCTCGCTCGCTCGCTCTCGCTCGCTCTCGCTCGCTCGCTCGCTCGCTCGCTCGCTCGCTGCTCGCTCGCTCGCTCGCTCGCTCGCTCGCTCTCTCGCTCGCTCGCTCGCTCGCTCGCTCGCTCGCTGCTCGCTCGCTCGCTCGCTCGCTCCTCGCTCGCTCGCTGCTCGCTCGCTCCTCGCTCGCTCGCTCGCTCGCTCGCTCGCTCGCTCGCTCGCTCGCTCGCTCGCTCGCTCGCTCGCTCGCTCGCTCGCTCGCTCGCTCGCTCGCTCGCTCGCTCGCTCGCTCTCTCGCTCGCTCGCTCGCTCGCTCGCTCTCTCGCTCGCTCGCTCGCTCTCTCGCTCGCTCGCTCGCTCGCTCGCTCGCTCGCTCGCTCGCTCGCTCGCTCGCTCTCTCGCTCGCTCGCTCGCTCGCTCGCTCGCTCGCTCGCTCGCTCGCTCGCTCGCTCGCTCGCTCGCTCGCTCGCTCGCTCGCTCGCTCGCTCTCTCGCTCGCTCGCTCGCTCGCTCGCTCGCTCGCTCGCTCGCTCGCTCGCTGCTCGCTCGCTCGCTCGCTCGCTCGCTCGCTCGCTCCTCGCTCGCTCGCTCGCTCGCTCGCTCGCTCGCTCGCTCGCTCGCTCGCTCGCTCCTCGCTCGCTCGCTCGCTCGCTCGCTCGCTCGCTCGCTCGCTCGCTCGCTCTCTCGCTCGCTCGCTCGCTCGCTCTCGCTCGCTGCTCGCTCGTCTCTCGCTCGCTCGCTCGCTCGCTTCGCTCCTCGCTCTGCTCGCCTCTTCCCTCGCTTCCTCGCTGGCCGTTCCCGCTCTTTCTCTCGCCCCTCTCCCTCCCGCTGTCTCCTTCACTCTCTGCCCCCTTCCGCCCCTCCCCCCTTTTCCCTTTCTTCCCGCTGTCTCCTCCTTGCCACTCGCTTTCCCCCCTTTTGTCACCTTACAGACGTTCGAGAACTCTATTAAAACTTTTATAACTTTGTTGTAACAATTGATTCTAGAATGACGCATTTGTTCTACATTTAGTTTTTAGAAAACATATGAAACAACCCGTGCTACTTTTAATACAATATGTAACTTAGATTACATCCATCTATGGTCAGGAAATTAATATAAAACTTTTTGTTAAAAATTCTTTTATTCCCCCCCTCCCAAAAAAAATTTCGAACATAAAAATCCAAACAAAATCACACCATAAACAGAAGTAAATGAACAAAATGAAGAAAACAATGCTGAACTACAAACCACAAATGAGGAAGATAATGTAACACAACAAATAGATAAAACCGAAGGTCAACAACAGCCACCTATACAGAGGCCACCTCTACTAGAGACTCCAACAGAATATGAACATCAAAATAGTTGGGATTCTGCAACGTCAATGGGACAAATGTCTGAACAAGATTGGAGTCAAATGCCACCTATGCCGTGGCAAAATAATAATCGTATGGCTGGTGGTGGTGGAGGAGGAGGAGGCGTACCGCCACCTCCACCCAGACCACCCTATCCCATGCAGTTCTATGGCTCGGGTCCGGCTAATGATAATGGTTCTTTTAGGCCTCCAAATGGTAATATGATGACAGAACGTGGTGGCTTTGGTGGACGTGGTGGTGGCCGCGGTTGGATGAATTCACCACAAAATCAATTTCGTAATTTCCCTAGACCTCCCAGAGGAGGAGGAGGAGGAGGTGGCGGAGGTGGTTCGCCCTATTTTAATCGTGGTGGTGGACGTGGCGGCGGAGGTGGCCCTGGTGGCATGCGTGGTGGTTCCGGTTTTCGTGGTAAATTTCGTGGAAAAAATTCTTGGATTTAAAAATTCCACAGTAATAAACGTTAAAAGTTAGTTTTAAATGTTCTTTAGATATTTTAAAATCTTAACAAATGAGTTGTTAAAATAAAAACCAAACAGAAAATATATTTAAAACTGAATTCAACTGTAAATATTAAAAATAACAGAAATCTATTTTAAACGGAAAAGTTTAACATTAAAAAAATTTAAAAAAAATGGGAAAAAATAACAAAAATACTTAAGAAGTTGTTTCTTAATAATTTAAGTAATTTTGACTGATATTGAAAATTTTTTGAAAATTTTACGCATGACTTCTTTAAATGTTTAACAATTTTCAAGAAATAGTAATAAAATATTGTTTTTGATAAAGTAAAACTTCTAATTCAGAAAATTTGAACAGTTTTTCATATTCTAAGGTGCAAATTTACATTTTAAAAAGTTTGTTCAGTTTATTTGTGTTATCAAAGTGTTTAAAGAAAAAAGTTAAAACATGGAACCGTGATAAACATTTGTGTTGTTGTTACCAAAAAAAAATAAAAGCTTAAAAAGTCTAAAGTATTGAAAAAATGGACATGTTTTTGATAAACATTTCCCAACAATATTTTTAATTAATCTGATAAATTTTCAATATCTAATTCCAGACTTCTTACACATTTCTCAAGTAAACTTGAGCTACAAAGTCAACTGTTAACTTTAACAAAGTCAACTGTTAAAATTTTAAATATAAAACATTTTTAAAAAGACAAAATCTTTTAAAGATCGTTTATTTTTTCCCATTTACCTTACTGATCATACTAAATACATACGTAGACTTAAATTTTATATATAAATAAGTATTTTTTTAAAAAAATAAAACACATTAATTTAGTTATTAAAACTTAATTTTAAAACAACTATTTCGATATTCGAATTAATCAAAAAAATATATTTTTTTTTTTAAATTTTCTTCATTTTTAAATTTTCAAAAATTAATATTTTTTTTTTCAAATATTTTGTTAAATGTATGAAAAGAAAAGAATGCATTAAATATGAAATACAAAATATTTTATAATAAAATATTTTTATTAAAAAAAAAAAAATATTAACACACAAGAAAAAATTTCAAATGTTACACACAGCTTTATTAAAATTTTAAAAATATTTTGCCTCATGCTAATTAAGTTAAATAACATCCTTACACACAACATTATTCTACTCTTGAAAATATGAATATTTAAATAAAACAAAATGATTAGTGTATTTAATTCAATAATAATATTAATAAATAAACAATATTTACTCACGGTTTGTTTGCGGATTTTAAATGTATAAAATTATTTCGGCAACATTCAACTTTAAAAAATAAAACAGTGAATAGTGTAATTTGCATTAAATATTATATAATTGTTACCATTTTTAGAAAATTTAGGGAAAGTGATAAAGTAAAACATTTCAAACTAAATGAACATCTTTCGATTAAATAAACGGACTCAGTTTTTAAAGCATATCGATAGTAACACATCGAAATATTGGTCGTAAAACCACAAAAGTATATGCAACCTTAATGCCTTTTAGATACTAGTTTCTAAAAGGCTTAGTATTTGACCGTAGGTCCATTTTACAAAATAAAGTTAACTGACTTCAAAATATCTGTATAGAGATGAAATTCGACATAAACATGTTTTATATAAAACAAAATCTCTACCAAATTTCATAAGGATCTATTCATAAATTCTACAATAAAGAAATTCTACAAATTTAATTTGTTATTAGAAATTAAACAATCTCGAATTCTCGAAATACTGTTCATAATTTTCTTACATCCCCATAAAAGTTCCACTTTCGAAAATCTCCCTGATGTTCATAGTAATATCGGATTCGGTAAAGTCTTCTTTTTTTTTGATATTACACAACAAAAAAGGTTTAACCTAGAAACTAGAAGCCGAATTATATTTCATTTATGATCGCAATTTTCCTTTTTTAAATATATTTTAACTTAATTTCGATATATTTACGATACAAAAGTTTATTCGCATTATTTATAAACTTCGTAATGCCCTTTCAAAGTTATATATCGTCATCTGAAACGCAAACGGTCCTAACTAACTGTTGATTCTAATGTATTGCATCAAAACAAATGTCCACACCAAAAATTGGACTCCTCCTAAGTTAGGAGGAGTCCTAACACATCCCTATCCATGGACTCCTAACTAACAGTTGTTTCAAACTTTAAGGGCGGGTTTTTCAGATAAAGATAATCTACATTCTTTGTTTAAACCTAGTTTAATATATGTTTTGTGTTTTTCAGTAAACTGTAACGTTACTTATTATTTTAGTTTAACTGAGTGTTATTGGCCAATTAAACTTAAGTTATAAGTGAGAAGACACAATTAATAAAAACAATAAAACAATGATTTCGGAAGAACAAAAACTTAATATTTTAAGTAAATTGCAATTTTCCAATTTGTTTTGTTTTATTTATTATTGTTTTAAATGTTTATTTAACATTTTTCCAAAATTTTTCATTTTACAAAAGTATTATTTGCAAAAAACAGCTGTTCATTGTTTATGTTTTTGAGTGAAAAGTTGGCAATACTAACAAAGTTAACTAAACTTAAATCCATAACTGAAAAACACAATCATTGGTTAAAGTCCGCCTAAATTTGTTCCGAGTTTAATCTAACAGCAAGTTAAGCCTAGTTTAACTGAGTAGTAAGAAACCCGCCCTAAGTAAATTAATTATTCTGAAGAAGGTAGATATAACTAGTATTTTGCAATCAATGGAAAGGACTTATAGACGACCTAAGAAAATTGAGGTTAAAATATTTCGAAAATTTGATATGATGGGGAAATTCAGAATTCAAAATAACTCAATCCATTAGAAAAGTATGTAGTAGTTCAAGTTTTTTTCTAATTTTGTCCGATCGCCTATAATACTTCGAAAGACAAATTCGAAATACTAAACCTAATACTGGTTCTTTAATTTCATGACTATCTCAAGGACAAAAAGATTTTTCCAAAAAAAAGTTTTTGTGGCGCCTGCTAATTACATAGGATTTGAAGAACCATGAGTTCTCTTTTTGTTCAAAATTAAAGTGCAATCAATGCCTTTATTTATGAAATCCGACATCGTACAAATATTTGCGAAGAAGTGATGATACGAGTGAATTTACAGGACCCCGAAATCATTGGAAATACCAGAAATTTCGTAATCGATGTTTGGGTGTAACTCTTCTAAAGTTGTTAGCATGGATAAGTGATTTAATGCAACCCCAACAAAAAATTTCTAAAGAGATTAAATCCGTACGTCTTTCGTCTTTTTTTTCGTAAACTTAAATTGTTGTCATTTTGGGCCTATTCGAAATTGCATCACTGCATTGCATCTGATGACTAAATTATAAATATTTTTAATTTATCGCATCAGCTGGTTTTGTAATGCCTGATTTACGATTTCTTTTGCGCATCATGTATTTATCAGATGAAGCGCAGTGATGCATTTCCAAACAAGCTCTTTGACGTGTGGTTCAACCAAAAACACCTGTGTATACCACTTTAGTTCCCCATTGGTATCCTACGTTCCCACGACAATCGGTTTTTTGCACCAGATTGTCAACCCAGCCACACCGACTTTACACCTGTCGCTGCTACAACAACAACAACGTTGGTTCAAAGAAAATTCCAGTAAGTTATGTCTTCATATACGAAGCTGGAAACTTCGAACACTTAGATTAGTTTCAATGGTCTCCAACTATCAAAACATAACATAATATACAGTTTTACTAAGTTAAGGATTACACTAGTGCGAGTGAGACGCAAAAGTATCAAAAACCAAATAATATTTATCGGCTTGACCTATTTTAAGATATAATAACGAATACTTTCGGAGGTATCTTATTTTGACATAGGTTTTCTATTTGTAATATCAATAACGCGAACCAAAATTAGACACTGAACACTTGAACAACAATCAATCATAGTTTCTAGTAGAACTCATGACGGAGGCTATATCAACAACAGTTTGATATAGATTTTAAAACGGTAAATGCAGCTTGAACGTTTAATGGAGGTTTTGGGGACTAAAATGGAAAATATTAAGTTGGATGATCTTTGGTCAACAAAAAATCTATCTTTTGAGCACTAAGTTCGGTAATCGTATTATCAGCTGACCTTTAGAATGCTCAACATTAAACGGAATTATTCAGCTGTTCGAATTTTTTCGAATGTGAGTAACGCATAATCTTCAAATTTCAAGACAACCTTTTCCGGAATCTCTACCTTGGTAAAGCTAAATCATATTGTTTGAGAAACTCTCTTTTGCTATTCATTCCATCAATTCCCTGAATTTCCAAAAATTCCAACAAAACACATACACCCCTATTCTTCATTTCAATTCGAATCGAAATTTTCTCCGTTTGGCAACTTTGGTATTCTGTATTTCGATTCGAAGCTCCCTCACTAAAATAACAACTTACAAAAACGTAGTTACGATCGTAATGCAGAATACATACAATCGTAAAGCATTGATATAAAATGAAATTGCTTCTTCTTTTTCTTACGATTCCGTTTTTTGTGGGAATACCAATTTTCGATCGTAGCGTAACTGAATGCGAAAACGTAATCGAAATGCAGAATAGGGGTGATTTGTATTTTGGAATGTTATTAAAATCGAAATAATATGGAACCTGCAACAAGTACTGAGGTTTGACAACTTTAATAATGCGATAAATAAATGTATTAATAAAAGGTAATATTATAAGTTTTTAACCTTAACATACTGCTCACTGAATGTTTATATATCTAGAAATCTAAACACATATAAAAACTCAACACAATCTAGGTATCGTTATTTCAGATTTCTCAGGAAATCGTAAAACCGAATTGTGTCTGAACGTCATTTCATTTTTCTATTCTCTGTTCCATGTCTCCATAATAGGCAATTGTAACCATTTGTTAGACATATTCGTTATCGAATGAACTTATCAGAACCAAATTCGATGTAATCTAAAAAGGAAAATTTCAAGAAAAATTCTCGATCACGAATTTGTTGATTCGACACCCTGAATTTATCAAAAAGAATTATCTCATAGATTCTAAGATCAATTCTTGGTTCGTTTTTTTTTTCAGGGGACTTTAAAGTCAATATTTTTGTGTGCGATGTTACAAAATAATTCCTCAGATCAGGTTGAAACCATTCAAGTATCTGAACTTTCTTGTATGTCAAATATC